ACATAGAACGGCAGAATCGGAATTTCTGCTGGGTGATCCGGCCACCGACCCAGCAATTTAAAGCCAACATGTCAACAGGCTCCATCTCGTATCCGGGCTGCCGTCTCATTCTTGTTGCCGTTGATGTTGCTTCTGGTTGCTAGGGCCGCTAGGGGATGAAGAGGTTGACGGATCCTTGTCTCGTGCTCCAGGGACCCGGAAGTTGACCCCCCGAAGATCCCAAAGCGAGCATCTTGTGGTGGCAATGATGATGCTTGAAGACGGATCGTGGAGATGTTGATGGCCATAGCGATGGATGGTGACTTTGCGATGTTTGGTGCGTGCCTGCACGTATTCAGCCGTGTTGGGGATCGGCTGCCATGAATCAGCCTCTGAAGCGACTCAAGCGCCAGCAGATCTCCCACTTGAGGAGCGAAGCCCTTCGGAGCCCGTAAGCGGCTGAAGTGTTTCGTCTTTTTTTTCGTCTTTCCGGGGGTTTGAGGTGGATCTTTCGAGGCCCTGGCACATTTGACACTCAAGTTGCTTCAACTTTCATGAGCTCGACTCTCGACCCACTCTACCTTTTGAGACTAGAATGCCACAGGCAGGTCGCAATCCTCATAGCTGTCCAAACTGCTTGGATGGCGTCCTGCGACTTCGTCGATGTCGCGGCTTGCACAACTGATCCTTGCCGTGGGAAGCAGATTTGGCTGTCTGACTTTGCTGTCTTGCCTTATGTTGTCCGTCGCCCATGATATTTGAACCGCCATTCCTACAATGGTCTACTCAACACTCCGCATTGCGGCTGCTTCCTGAACCCTTCATGCGCCCGATGCTCATGAGCGTCGCACCCTAAAATTCCTCGGTTTCTTCAAAAGAGCGCACGCCTAATATAGAAGCCTAAATCAATAATTACCAATATTCTTTTTGTGATGATACTATAAAGGAACCTCAAACTACCCATTCTAATTATTACTATAAGGCCCCTATTTTTTACGCCTTCGCTTATCGGCGCTTTTGGAGGCTGACGCGGTTCCGGCTGCCCCTCGAGACGACCTCGGCTGAGCTGCGCAAAGCCTACTACAGGCTATCTTCTACCGATTCGGGGGTTTAAGGTTTATAGGGTTTAGGGTTTAGGGTTTAGGGTCGTTGGTTGGTTGACGCTTTGGGGTCGTTTTGGGCCCAAGCTACTCGTGTCTGCACCTTGAAACTTGCAGCCTGAAGAATTGGGCCATGAAGGCAGCAACAGGAAGCCACGGCAAACACTCTTCCAAAAACGGACATGCTGTCACAAGCAGTGTCAGTTTTGTCGAACATGAACAGAGTCGCAGAAATGCCGGGATCCTCACCGTGACGGGGAAGCACCGAACTCCTCCCTCCAGCTGGCGCCTGAAGCCTTACCAGCCTTACCCGAGACTCAAAGTAAAGAACGCCTTACTAAATATCGAAATGTCTCGCGAAGAAGTTGCTGTTCCTCAGGGAGGCGAAGTTGCTGCATCCGGACCGAAATCCGAGCAGCAGCGGTGCACAGGCCGTCATGTTGTCGTGATTTGGGTTCAGGGTTCAAGCTTTAGGGACTTTAGGGTTTAGGGTTCGGGGTTTAGGATGTTTTGATTGATGGTTTGCTCCATCTGGTGAATCACGAGTATCATTGCAACGAGTACGACAAAATGCAACGCTCGAGATAGCAGTCGCAGTGATTATGACTGCGCTGCCTGCAGTGGGACGTTTTGTCACAAGACTGTGACGGCAAAAAATATGGTAACCTAGCGGGACTTTTGCTATCAAGGGGACATGAACAATGTCGGAATGAACGACTTGCAGCTTTCGGAGAAAAGAGTGTCATCATCAATCCGCTTTGATCGCATACTGGCCTTGGCAGAATGTGTTGTGTGTTTATTTCCGCAAATGGCAACCTCATGAACGTATGTCACAGACCTTCAGCTGTCACAGTTCCTAGTATTTTACAATTTCGAGCCTTGTCGCTTTACATGGAACCCGATGCGTCAAAGACTTAGTCTAGGTAATGGTTGTAGAGTAGCTTGATGTGGGTGGTAGACGTTCATGGAATGACAGTGAGATAGACTCGCCTTCTGATGCTTAGCATCCCCGCTGGGTTGGCAAAGAATTTGAGACACTAAGTCACTGATGCAGGTTTTGATAAAGCAATAATTGCGGGCATGTGTCGAATCGGCTGCGACTTCACCGTGTTCAACACATCCAGCGATTCCAGCGCAAAATGTTCAATTTGGCAATGTAAGCCGGAGCTTTTCACTGTGCATCGCCTGGGCTCCTTGCACTTTATTCCCGCCACTTGCTTTCGTCGTAGCTCCTTCTCAACTTCTGCTTCTTCTGATTTGTACTTTGCTTTCGACCTGCCTCTGAATGACATGTTGTTCTTTCCTCTTCCGTTCCGTGCTCCTTGTCCTTCCGTCTGCAGACGCGGGGGGATTTGTGTTCTAGATCTTTGCGTTTCGGGGCTTACTTTGGTGTCGGCTTCCGGTTGAGAGAGTCGGGTTTAGTTTACCGCTAAGTTGCCCCCAGACCTTCATCTAAAGCAAGCCTGAAGTCAAAGCTTGGGAGTTACTTCCCCGCCCCTGCCTGGAGGCAAAGCTCCAGGTCTGATACTGGGGTTGTGCTACTCGTATCGGCTTTTTCGATACCATGATAAGAGAAGGAGTATAAGTAATTACTGTTCCTGTCTAAATACTACTATAAATGCTGTTGACACCTTTCATTTGTTTGGTTGCAGCTGGAAATTGGGCTCGAACTGCGAAAGGCCTTCGTGTGTCAGCAGACAGAAAGAGAGCGCACAGAGCCAACGAGAGAAACGGACAGACGGAGGCCTTCGCACAATTGCGCGCCGACTTCGAGGAGGCTTGCTGCTTGCTGCTTTCAGACGTCGGGGTTTGGGTCTCAAAACTCAGTCATCTCAGAGGTGTTGTGGGAGCACTGACGACTGTTAGCATAGGCTTGGTCGTGATGTCGACTCTCACCAGCAGCACCATGATGCTACGTTAAGGAGGACTGAGGCTGTCTTTCACAGGCTTCACAGGTTTGGGTTCGAGCTTCCCGGTCTTGGCCTTCGATTTGAGACTTCCGTGCCGCTGGAATTGTTGATTCGTTTGGGAGCTGGGAAGATTGCCTCTCGACTTTTTTTCCGGAGAGTCGGGCTGTTTGAAGCTAGAAAATGTTGAAGAGATTCCAGAGCTAGATCCATTGTCTAGGCGGAAGCCCACCAGCCGGTATGCCCTTGACATCACAACCAGGAGTTTCAGAATATCCGGGCCACCAAGATAGGTTCCTGAATCGTAGAATCCTGTGCAAGGACACCCAGTGAGGCACCGTTAAACCACCAATCAGACTCCGAGGGATGTCGGGATCTTCGACCTTCCCGCCTTGTACCCGACAGGCCCAGAAGCTCCTTGAAGAGCCACAGCGCGGCCCCGGCCCTCCCCGTCCTTCAGGCTTGTGACAGAAGCTTCCGTACTCAGCCGTGTCCTTCCTCTTCTGAATTCATGTTGAGTGGGTCCAAAACCCAGGGGCTGTTTTGCACGACCGCTGAATTGACGAGAGTACTGAAGGCATTGCAGACAACAGGAGAGTAGTCATCAGCATCAGTGAAGATGCCAACCGCAGTGGCAATAGCAACCTGAACAGCAAAGCTTCAGAATGGTCGAATAACATACTGTCATGTTCGTCGAAATTGCAGAACGCAGCCCGTCATGACTCAGCACACCCGTAGAAGGATGGTAAGAGTAGCATGCAGAGCAATTTAACAAATCGCAGCGGTGACAGCACATGACAGGCTATGAGAGTATCATTAGGCACTGTCGTCACGACGATCAGAATTCACCGCCTTCGCGTTTGATAAAGTCAGCGATATCGATGATGATGACGACGATGGTTGATGATGATGATGATGATGATGATGAGGAAGAGAAGCCGTGATGATGATGATGTTGATGATGATGATGATGGTGATGATGGTGATGATGATGATGATGATGATGATTGTGTTGATGCTGGTGATGGTGACGATGAGCTACATCAGGTTGAATATGTGGTATGTGCTGCTGCATCTGGTGATAATATGGCAACTGCACTGCGATGGCTTCCGCGATGATGCTGCTTCGGAGAATGGTGATGGTGGTGACCGTGGTGGTAGAGAAGGAACATGCGGCAGTTTCCCCCTCTGAATGGAATCTGCTCGCGTAGGACCTGGCTGCTAACCATTCAGAACAACAATCGTTTTGTGTGTTTTTGTTTGATTGATTTTGATTGATCCTTCCTGCAGGCAGCAAGCACCTAACAAATGCTTTGTGCAAGCCGTCTCTCGCCAGATGGGCCAGAATTCTCTTTCGAGGACCTGCTGAGCCTGATGGTAGTCGCATGGTTGATGATCAAGATAACACTTCGGATAATGATACCGGGATGACGAGGATGAAGACGATGTTGAAGATGACGAATATGACGACTCCTCTGTAGTGGCATATGATTTGCATGACGCAGAAGCTCGCGCTAGTCAGCTTCTCCTCGGCAGTCATTGGGGCGGCGGGGCGTGTTTTCATCTGCGGCCGAGTATCAAAGCAGCTAGCGGGTCGGTTTCCGCGGCTTCAACTTTGAGCTGCCAATTTGGAAGCTGTAACCCGAAGCTGGAAGCCCTCAGCAGCCCCCCCCTCCTCTCCGACTCCCCCCCCTCCATTCCCTTCCCCACTCATTCCCGCGCCCAAAGAAGTCCCACAGCTCGGTGGCGAGGACGGCAAGCGTTGGTCGGCCGCCTCCTGGGCCGCGCGGTCCCAGGCGAAGCTTCCCGAAGCTCCAGGGGGCTTCCGATTCCGAGGGCGCCTTTTTTTTAGGGGCTTTTGTAATTTTAATTTCTATTTGGGTTTGAGGGGAGTTTCAGCTCTTGAAGGCCGGGGGCCGGGGGTTTTGGATTTTAGCGCGGATGGGTTCGGTGGCGGGTTCGTGAATGGCTTGGGTTTTTAGACCCTCTCATGTCCGCTCCCCCAAGCCTCCAGGCGCAGAGACCCGATATTACCAGGCTCAGGAAAGCCACACAGGAAGAGCTTTTGAGGCACGACAAAGCAGTGGACCAGCGGAAGAAAGGCTTCAAACTCAACCAAAGCCCCCACAAAAAGCGACGAAGGCGCCTCCGAATTTCCGGGGCTTTCGTGAATCCCCCGAATCCCGGCCGGAGCCGGCCGTGCCGGTGGCGGCCTGGCTGTGTTTGGGCTGGTAACGGGGGATGAAGGAGGCAGTCAACACCAAGATATGACATGTCAAGGGTCTCTCTGTAGCTTGAGGATAGCTGATCTTTACGGGATTATGGAGGAGGGCAAGGAGCACAGGGTTGAGCTGCCAATCGGCACTTGTCGGGGCTCATTCGGTTATGCAGGGTTTTGTCAAATGTGTTCGTCTGCACGTGGCTTAGTGTGGTTTCGGGTCAGGCTGATGCTTTGTTTGGTTTTCAACAGCATCGTTATCCGATATCCTAAGTGATCGTCATCCAAGAAATATGAGTTTTTTCGATCATGCAGATCGCACCGTCTTCGCAAGAGAAGCTTTAGCAATAAGCGGCAGTGTGCGCGTTAGGCGAGCCAGGCTATTGCCTCCGACGGGTGGGAAGTCTAACTGGAAGGAGAGCCAAGTCTCAACAGGACTTGCTGGGTATGCCGTTTCTTTATGGGAAAGATGCCGAAGGGGCTTACGGAATTTTAGTCTGAAGGACATCGGCCTTGCTTGAAGCCTCTGAGTCCCGCGTTCATGAAGCACTGGGCCGTCAAGCCAGCACCTTAAAGCCTTAAACGGTCCTAGGTGGGGCTGCCGCACGAGGTAGTGTGCCTCGGCCCTTTGCGGTTCGGGGTGTCGAGGTTGGGTGAAAGGAGGGGACACGAAGAATCATGCAAGGGAAGATGTTGGTCGAAATGGAGTTTGGTTCGGGAGGCCTAACAGGTCGGACGTGCTCAGGGATGTGGAGTTTGAGGCTTTGTTGCTCAGATGCGCGGTACATGTCGAAGAGTTGAGGGCTTGACATCAGATGTTCGCTGTAGCTCACTTCCGCCACGGAACCGAGGTACACCTTCACAGCCGTCGTCTCAGGCGCCATCCTTTTCGGATTCCTCTACCACCTCTCGCAGGAGAGACGGGCTTCGCCGCAGTGCTCCTGCGGTCTTCGGCCGCGTTGCATGCTCCACCACCTTCCAATAGCCTATAAAGCCCCGCCGGTCCGGGAAGTTTCCCGCAAAGCTCCGGTCCAGAGGAGCTCTCGTCTCCGCGGCGCTACTGCCAGAATCCTGTGTCGCCCGTGCACGTTGATTCGAAGTGTGAACGGGGATGCGGAGGGCTCGCGGTGTTATTCTGTGGGCTCAAGAAGACTTAAAATAATCTACTGGGGGTCTCCGAGGGCGACCAGCGCTTGGGGGTAAGACGACACCGGCCACTCTGGCGCACTGAAAGGCTCTCTTGAAGATCCTTTCAAGTTGGGCATTCGCTGCACTGATCGGAACTGAGGAGTCCGTTGCAAAGTGGGGTGGGGCACGTCACACCGGGAGGCTCCTGCAAAATGCAAACGGACGCAGTCCACACCTGCGCGTGGCGCTCGAGAACTTCAGCAAGGCCTGGAGAGGGGTCTGTACGGAAAGTTCGGGTGCCTGTTTGCGAAGCTTTTGCCACAGGACCTTTGCTTTACTTGCATAACAGCCACATGCCCTCTATTCCAAATTTCCAGATTGTTTTCAATCCCGTGAGCACGAGCTTGCAGCAGCGTCCGCTTTTGCCAGGCCGAAGGCGTTGCAGACGCCACACCTTTTGCTGCGCAGGCGGCGCACCGGGCAGCGGCAGCCAACGAGGCTTCGGGAGCTTCAGGGACTCTGGGCGTCTGTTCGGATGCATCCTTGAATTCCATGCTACAGAGAGAAGTGTCGATTTCATGCAGAAAGACAGACGGACAGGCACAGATAGAGAGACAGAGAGATAGAGACCGATAAGGAGAGAGGGAGAGGGAGGGGGCAGACTCACGGATGCATGCGGACTCCAAACATGTGCATTCATGTCGGTGTGAGGGGCCATCATTACAGACGTAACCAGATAGGCTATCAAGCACACGGCATCAGACTCGTCGAGAAACTCCCAGCGAAGCCTGAAAGCCGAATTCTAAACCAAACGGCTTTGCACACCCACTTCCAGGTCGGCTGGCTGGAGCATTGCGGAACGGACAAAGGCCCAGAACCCGAAGGTTTAGAGTTCGGGTCGGAACCTCCAGCATAGGGCGGCCTGGTGCTAAAGGCAATTATTGGACGGAGCACTCAGACCTCAAGGATCAGTGTTTGGGAAGTTGAGGTGAAAGGGCCCGGATACTCTGCGAAGCCGTCCCCGTTTGGAGCTGGTTTCAGGGTCCATGATGAACCTTCTACACTCTACAGGCAGCCAGAATCTGAGGTACGAGTTGCGGCTTCAGGCTATGTCATAGTCCCAAGGACGAAAAGGCAAGAATGGTGTAGCAAACAGACTCAAGCGTTTCATGCTTCATCATGCTCCGCAGCATGCCGACCGCTGCTCTTCGCCGGGGACGAACGCGACGACACGCCGCTGCAACTTGACAAAATTCGCCGCTACCTTCAGGCGAGAGGCCCAAGTCCCCGTCCCGTCCCTCCCTCCCTTTCGCCCATTTGCAGTCAATCTATGCGTGCATGCCGTGCAAGGGCGAAGATAGCGGTCTGTGAGTATGAACATGCACTCAACATAGCGCCATGCAGCAGGTTACTAGCGCTGATGTACTGCGATATGGGTACTTCATGCTAGGCAGCAGCATCATCAGAAGCTCTTCTGCACTCTGCTCGGGCTCTGCTCTGCGCCATGTTCCGGACAGTCTTCGGAATACATACACATCATTCGCCCGTGCTATACGGTCTGCCGGGATACTTCTGTTTTGTCTATCCGCATATTGGTTTAGAACTCGACCAAAGCAACCCTAATGCGTCAAATAAGAGCAACAGAAGTGATACAGTGTACAGCTGACTCGCTGCTGTTCAATGGAATGCAGCAGACTATCCGGAACATAGTTCGAGCACAGCGCCGAGCAGACTTGATGATGTAGTCGTTTAGCCATAAGGCATCCATTGTACTGCGCAGTACATTGGCTCTTGTACAGCTCAATATACAGTATAGCGCAATTTGGGATGCTTCAACCTGCTACTCTAGATCAACATGCCATACTGCAAAGTTCAGCTGTTGCGCATGCTCTCGCTTCAATACGACCTTTGCAGTCGGCATAATTTGGTAGACCAAGAGGTGAATGACTCTGCGTACATCCTATCTGAGTTGGCACTGGAGCCGGTGGTGCAATGTATGAAGCAAGCCTTAATGCAGGACAATACATGGTCATGAAATATGATGGACTCTGACGTCATCGCGTGGGGATGCTATCGAGTGCAACAAACAGAGCAAAAAGCAAGAACCCCCAGCTGCTTGTTGAAACCCAAGTGACGAAGAACAACGCCAGACAAAGGCACCATGGAGCCCGGGCGGGTCGGACCGAGGTGCTCTTGGGGTCTTTGGGTGCTTTTTGCTTCCTTCCCAGCACCTTACGAGGCAACCGTCTTCCGGTTGTCATTCTGAGTTCTTTGAGGGTTCATGTGTAGCCTCGTCACCGCAAGCTCCGCCTGTACCGTCCGCTGAACTCCCAAAACACCTATCTTCAATCTAGGCTTGCTGTTCGGCCCCAAACTAGACAAAAGTGGCAAGGCATTTCCATACGGTCTTTGAGGGAGCTCACCGGAGATCCGTGGACTCGAATCGGGGCCGGAACTGCTAACATGCAACTCTTAGGACCCCTAAAACACCAGTGACCTACAGCTCCTTCAACCCAGGGGAGCCCGGACAAAGCCCAAAAGAGCTTCTGCCGTAGAGGCCGTCTCCGCTCTCATCCGGCTTGGTGCTGACCTTGCCCGGCTGCCCTTTGGACCGACAACTTCGAGCCAGAACTGCTCTCGTTCCCCTGCTCTTTTGGGGTTGCGAAGGCCGCTGCCGCTGTGCTCTTGATCACTGGTCCATATGACTACTGCTGTGCTTATTGCTCATATTTGCTCGTTCTTCCGTGCCCCTTAGGACGATTCTTTTGTTGACATCCTACATTTAATATTTGGGCGGCGTGGTAGGTCATGTAGGGCTCAGTGGCTCGGTGTGAGGGCCTTAAGATTAGCTTTACATGCCGTGGCGAAACTCGAAAAAAAGAGCCCTTCGGGGCAGCGCCCACCGGGCCCTTCCCAGGAATCGCTTTGGCCTGGCGCCGGAGCATCTCGCAGCGCAGCTGGGCCACAAGGCCAGCACAGAGCCCAGGGTTAGGTGAGGCAGGTCAGCGGCCTGAGGACAAGACCAAGATCCCAGCGGCCGACTTCTCAAACAAGAGCCCCAGCTTCGAGCAGATTTAGGTCCAAATCCTTACATGCGGACTCTACACTCCTCCATGACCCGAAGTTGCTGGAAGGATACGGCCTTCGTCCTCCGCTCGGTGCGCGCCGTGCGCGACGGGGCCGGGGACCCTGCGGCCCAAGCGGCCGCGAAGCGGGCGATGCCTGGAACCCCAGAATGATTTGAAACACCCCAAGCAGTGTGGGAACACTGTGGAATCGAATAGCCTCGAAGCTTCAAGGAGGCACCCCGACGACTTGGGCCACTTTGTCCAGGAACCCCAGGCTGCCGATTCAGGGGCATCATTCTACCGGGTTTCTAAAAGGGGTGCTGTAAAGGCTCTACAGGGGTTATCACTACATGTCACAACATTTCGGGCGGGCAGGGGTGCGGCTTTGGCAGGCCCAATCAAGGTCGAGTCTAGAGTCTAGCGCTCTCCTCAGCCCTGACAATGAGCAAGTGCACGACAGTGCACCATTGCAGGACATGCTGTCTACAAGCCCAAAGTCTCAGAGAAAAGGAAGGTTTCCTTCAACAGACACCGAGCCGCCTCGAAGGCTCTGAGCCCGACGGCAGCTCAAAGCTTGCGGTGCGCCGCCGGAGCCCAAGACTGGCAACAGTTCGTGGTAAAAAAGCAATCCGGACACGCCTGCCAGACAAGGCCGAGGAACAAGTCGGCGAGATCATCTTCAAGACCACGACCACCACTACCACCACTACCACCACCCCCACCCCTTTCTACCATGACCGCCATCGCTACTAAGATTTCCACTACCCACTACTACCCACTAGTACCCATTACTACGCACCACCACCACTACCGCACACCACCTCCCACGCCACTACTGCCCTCTACCACCCACTTCCACCACACGCCGCTCGCTACAACCCATTACCATCCACTACCACCCATTACCACACACCACCCACTACCCACTATTCAGATCAATCACAAGAGTAGAGACTAGAGGCCCATGCGTGGGATCGCAGTCTCAGGCCAAGATGACGGGTGATCCGGAGACCTGACCTCGGAAGGGAAAGGGGGCCTTTGTTGGGTTTGGGCTGTGATCAGGGTCGTGTGTTCTCGTCTTGTAGTGTTTTGAGAGTGAGCTTTTCGGTTGGAGTTTCAGGGTTTCGTGTAGGCTCCATCCAGCACAGATCTGCCGAGCCCCAACGCTCCCCCTAGTTGACGGAAACCGTGGGGAGATTCGACGAAAATAGCCTGGAAATAACATATTTCTGAGGGCCAATGGAAAACTGCAAGCTCTTCTGACCCCAAGAGCTGTCAGCAGAGCTTGAGGCTCTCCCACGCCTTCCACCCAGGCAGGCGCTCTGCTCGGTGCGGGACTGGGAACCTTCGGTGGTGCCGGTGGCGCGTGAGAGGCCTGGCTCGCGCGATGCCCAAGCCAAGAGAGGTTTGGCGGACATGACTGAGAGTTCTTGGCATCAAGAATCTTCCCGAAGTCTTAACCCACCCATTTTCTTGACTGTCGCTCCTTCAGAAAACCTTTCGTGCCTACAGTCAAGACCATCTCAATTTTTGGGTTTGCTCGCATGCCGCGTGCAGAAATTCTCAAGACCGGTTCACATGCTACTTTGGAGCATCGACGTCATTCTTGGATTCCGACCCTTATCTGCGACACTGTTTCACTCTGCTCTGTCCTGCTTCTTGAGCATTCAATGGTTCGTGTGTCTTTCGCTGCAATACAGTAGCTATATGTAGCTATCCTAATGTGGTCCACCACATTACGTGATATCATGCCGTACTATGATCTGGTCTGTGTGTGAGACACAGAGAGAGAGAGAGAGAGAGAGAGAGAGACCCGAACTGGGGGAAACACACTAACCTTGTTTTTACGCCTCCTCAAAGCCCCATAACAAATGGGGGGCCCTAGTGGCCGGGGGGCTTAAACCGCCTCCCATGCCGCATAGCCTGTCGCGTTGCAAAGCACTGCATGATGCTGTGCTGGATATGTAAGTACGAGCCGCTTCACTATGCATGGCGTGGCATGGACGGAATTGCGTAGCTCGTGCTAAATGGTGCTGCACAGTATGTGATGTGGTCTATTTTTACGATTCGTTTTGTGTTGCTGTGTTCCTCTGCTATGCTGTGTTCAACTCAATGGGCGGCTAGGTAAGGCTAGGCCAGATTCAATGTTCTATTGCATGATGCTGTGCATGTGCATGCACGCATCCGTATTTTATTCACACACACACACACACACCATGTCGACACTGCCGGTAGATGACTATGCACATCGCGGCCAAGACATACTGAGATCGAAGCTTTCTTTCTCTTTGAGTTCCTGCAGGGCCTGGGTCGAGACTTGGGCACAGGCTTCCGTGCAAGGCCCCTGTGGCAGGGTTTGGGTTAGTTCTGAGCTTCAGGGGTGCCGGGGCTCCGGGGTCACGTTAGAGTTGGGGTGGGTGTTTTGGGGTCCGGGCCAGTCTTTAGCTTTTCGAGGTCTTGGAGGTTTTTGGGAGTTGTCGGCGGCGGGATTGCGCTTTCTGCTTCGGGGACCCACGGTTTAGGGCCAAAAGCCTTCAGCCATTTGTCTCCGAGGCCAGCAAGGCCTTCTCGTCTACGAGATGTTTTTAGGCGGCCCGGGCCACTGGATCGCCTTGGTGTCCGAGGACCTCCGTCTGGCTTGTCTCAGGGTCCCAAGTTGGGGTAAAATAGAAAAAAAACTGCTTAAGACCTCGGTTTCGGCTGGATTCTCTTAGGAGTCCGGCTTGCTGCGCCTGGACCCTCGCCGCGGCACGCGAGCGCCCCAGATCCAGCCTGAAGCACAAGCAGGGACCATGCCAGGAAGCCGCCACGGACCCTGTGTTATGTTCCGACCCCTCTGAGTTCTGAGCTTTGTGGGATTCTCATGTCAGTTTCGGTGGTTCAGCATTCTGGGCTTCGGGCCAGGGTGTAAGGCAAGGGCTGGCTTCGGTCTTGATGCTGTTGTCTTCTGAGTGGACTGAATTGCGTGAGGTTGACTTGGAGGTTTCAGGGTGCGGAAGTTCCCCTCTGGATCCTGGGCATGTGCGCTTGTAGGTGGGCATGTGTCATGCTTCTTTAACCGCCACAGAACGCACCATGTAGCTTTTTTTTGTGCCGTACTTGCGACTACAACTAGTTCAGCTTAAAAGCTCCTGGGCCAAGCATTCGCAGCCCGCGCCAGCCGCCTGCAACCCCTCCCCACATCCTCATCCCAATGCCAATGATCACCAACAACTCTGATCTTCCCTCTCCCTGCCCTCCCCTCTCCCCTCCCCTCCAAGGTTCTTCCTGACGAGCTCAGAGGCCGGCGAGCTGGCCGCGCGCTACGCCGCCTGGAGCCTCGAGCCCTCCGAAGCCGCTTCGGCTGCGGAGAAAAGAAGGGCGGCTAAGAGGGTTCTTCTCAGGTGGCTCGTGTATAAAAAGGGTTCTGGAAGGGCTGTTACTATAACGTTATTAGGGGCCTTAATTGTTTGACTGAGCTCCTGGCCTGACACTTCTAAAGTTGGGCGCCTTGGCATGCACTTACAGGTTCGGGTGTTGGGTGGGGCTGAGCTTAGGAGATCGTGTGCTGATGGAGATGTGAAAGGAATGAAGAGGTTCACAGCAAAGCAAGCCATATTTCAAGTGTCCTGCGCAAAACTGACGTTCTGTTTTAGGACGCGCTAGAGCTTAACGTGCAGGCATTGTGCTTGTTGATTGTTCTCGCGAAGGCGCAAGATCCATGTGCTTCTGCCACATTCTTGGATGAACTACCGCTGCTACCATCGCTGTCTTTTCCTGTGCTGTGCTACCCACTGTTATAGGCATAGGTGCTGACTGCCATTCCCATGGAAACAGCAACGGCTCTGCGACATGAGGCCCAAGACTTTTCCCAAGATTTCCAAGTCGGTAAGCCATGTAACATGTGCCGCATGGATGATCCCGATTCTACCCGCCGACTGCGGTTGCTGCTCGTGCGCGGCAGAGGCCCAGCCTCCGAAGGAGGCCCGCAGCAGTCTTCCGGTCTCCATTTTCGAGTTTGCAACACCTTGCCTTGCTGTGAACAATATTTGGGCTGACTTTCCAAACAGCGCCTGCTCGCCGTAAGTCGCGCGGGACCTGCACGACTTCTGTGTCATCTGCGCCAGAATTGGCGAAAGCAGACGCTGTTCGGCCAGATGGGTATGAAGTGGCGGGACCTGTTGTGCTCGACCAAGGTGAGTAGTGAGCTTGTTGGAAGGGGTCTTAATCCCTTCTGTGGAGAACTGCTGACAGGTCGTGACCGCCGGACCAGGACTGGAAGGAGCGCCGGTGCTGAAAGAGGCTTCTGAAACATCGCAGCCTTCACAGCCGGATGCACCGACACTGGTGTCTCCGAGAAGTCTGTGCCTGGGCTAAGGCAGGTTGCATTTTTTGGGCTGTAGTTTGATTTCGGTTCCTTGTGCAGCTTCTCCGAGGAATCCCCTGGGACGGGATCCGGTTATTGGTCCAACGTGCAAGCCGAAGCGTCTACATCTTTTTCTCTTACGGAAGCGTTTTGCCCCCTTTTTCCACACCCTCGATTCACTCAACCCCGAACCTTGCAGGCCAAGGCCCCCCGGAACCAGGGAGCGGGCTTGGGCTCGAACCATGTGCTTCTTCTTGAACTCGAAATTCGAGTACCCTTTCGGCAAACAGCGACGGGATTGTCACAGAGTTTCCGGTGTCCGGCTTGTCCGGATGCCTTCACCCTGCGCGGTTGGGAGCAAGGGCACACAGAGGACATGTTTGCAGCCAAGGCTCCGGATGATAACCGACGACTCCGCCGTGGACGTCTCCATTAAGTCGGAGCGACTGGAGACTTTGACCAATCCCAAGCTCGAGCAGGAGCCAGAGGGCTTCCTGGGCTGTTGCTGTTGACTCTAAGAATCGCTAAAGGGCGGCAGACACGGATATTGGCTATTGCGACCAACAAGACACCATGGATCCTCACAGCTACTAGTGTCTCCAGCATAGTATTAGTTCATAGGTCAGTAAGGCTAACCAGACCAGCAGCGGCCAAGCCGATGTTGAGCGAGTATTTTCTGGTTCTAGCTTAGTGTACTCGGAAGCAGGAGCGACACGAGCAGTTGTTCGATGGACCTCCAACTCCAAGACTAGCCCAGTCACGAGCAATCATGACGATCATCGAAAGAACTCTACTACGAGGTCGTCGTCGTCGTCGTCATCGTCGCTATCATGGTAATTGTGCTAGTAGTGCGGTGGTGTCAGTCGCTGTGGCAGCGCGGTTGTGGCGGTAGCACTGGTAGCAGCAGCAGCAGCAGCAGCAGCAGCAGTGGTGTATAGATGGTGCAACCAGAGTTTTGATGACGACAGCAGGCAGCAAGACTAGCAACAGCAGCCAGCACAGTAATTTGATGGCTAGGCATGATGTTCAGACTTGGACTTTGGAGATTTTCCTGAGCTTCAACTTCACGGTCCTGCGAACGGCGTCTTTCATTCCTCTAAACGTTGCAAGATGCCAGGAATGGGTTGGTCTTCCGGAGCAGGGGTTGCCTCATTCCTACTTCAATACGTCCCATACAGCAGCGCCTAATAATCAGTAATGTCATCAGACGATACCCCTGTGCTTTGTTTCTACGGCTCTGGGTCCCTGGCCCCTTCTCTCAGCCGATGCTGTCGAACCGACAGTCGAGACAATCTACAGGACCAAGACGCCAGTTCAGACCTACCTTCCTTGAAGCGAAATTCTAAACCTCGGAGAACAGACCTAACGAAGCAGATGTCCAGAGGGCATGATCCGGGCGATCACCCTCCGCAAGTCCATACGGCAGATGGGGCGTCTTTGGCGCAGACCTTTGCTGCCAATGCCCGAGGAGACACTATGCATGTCGGTTTTGCAGGATTTTCCTAGGGTCAAAGGTGGCTAGCTCTCCAGCAGCTGCCCGAGGTCGTCTTTCGCTAGGGTTGAGTCCAGGAGATCTTGTAACTTTGGAGGGCAGATTACGTCATGCATCTGGTGCCCGGCGACCGCGGCAGCTGCACCCGAGCACCAGCGCTGCATAATCCCCATGTTCAGCATGGTTCTAGCGTTGGGCATGACAGTCAGTCCCAGTGGCAGCATAGGTGGCAGGCGGATTGTCTGGGTCACCATTTTGGTTGTGGCTTCGTCCAAGCTCGCGAACGCGCAGCTGTTAGCATTCTGGTCCCCGTGCATGTTATTGTGATCGCAGTTGTCTCGGCAGTCAGTAGTTTTGGTGGTGGTGGTGGTGGTGTTGGTGTTGGTGTTAGTGTTGTTGTTGTTGTTGGTGGTGGTGGTGGTGGTGGTGGTGGTGTTGGTGGTGGTGGTGGTGGTGGTGTTGGTGTTGGTGGCGGTGGTGGTTTTGGTTGCGGTGGTGCTGGGTGGTGGTCATGTTGTTCTTCTCGTTATTTTTTCGTTTTTTCTCACTATTATTGAAATTCTTCTTATGATTTTCAATCGTTATTCTTTTTGTTCTTCGTCTCGTTCTTCTCGTTATTATTCTTGTTCTTCTTCTGGTTATTAGTCTTGTGCTTGCCATCGATCTTGTTCTTGCTCTTGCTCTTGCTCTTGCTCTTGTTCTTGTTCTTGTGCGGTGGTGGTGGTGGTGGTTAGGGGCAGTGTTTGCGATGCTTGTGAGGGTGTTAGGGTTGGTGGCTGTGGCGTCGGCATCGTGGTTGCCATTGTTGTTATCGAAGGTCCTGTTCGTTTTGGCTTGTTAGGACTTTGTTGTTTGGCGCTAGTACTGGATGATGATGATAATGATGATCGTGAGGGCGATGGTGGTGAGGGTCATGCTCGTTACGCCAAGCCTGCTGGTTTTTTTGTCGTTTCTGCCCGGTTTCGCCTGAAACGGGAGGAGCGCCTGATGGACCTTTACGAGTGGTCCCATCCGGCGGAGGAGCATCTGGGCTGAGCGCGTGACTGAGAGCTTTCTCTGTCGTCGTCGGCTGAACTGAGGTACGACTACTTCCTGTCACACGCCTGGGAGACGTGGGGTGGTCTGAAGTACATCTCCCTTTTGAAACTTGGTCATGTTTGCCTCAGATGCCTCAGCATGCTTTGGCCTGCCGTCGAACTTGCTAGAATCGCAACAGGCCCCCAAGCCGCCCAAGCCCCTCACACACCGAAAACAGCATCTCCGGAGCCAAGAATGCACTCCAGCCATCGTTTCCTTCTCGGCTGCTGGCTGTCGGCCGTGGTGCTTTGCTGGTGTTTCTGCCTGATGCCGGGCTCTCCTTGTGTACGCTTTTTGTGGTTTTCATTTTCCGCATACTGATGTTACCAGTAGGAAGATCTCTACGACCCTGAACACACCCCAAAGCCTGAAACCCGAAACCTCAGAGCCCTGACGCCCTGAAACTCTCATTTTTTGTGGAAGCAGCCGAGGATGGATCTACTCCCCACCTTCGGCCATGTGAACCCGGAAGCCCTCGATTGGTGGGCCGAGGGCGAGGGCTGCCCGACGGGGCCTTGGATTATTTGCAGCGGCTTCTTGGCGCACCAACCTGGTACTTTGGTCAGAGATTCCAGTCCGGTTGCCAAAGACTTGCAACTCGAACCGAAACCGTAGGTTTTATCTCCGTGATCGTGGGGCTTCTGCTGGCGCCCTACCTGCCCGACTCCTGCAGCAGGCCAGTCCTCATGGGGGAGTGTTGGGGTAATTTTGGGTGAGGTGTGCGATTGGCAAGCCTGGCAACATACACCCTGCCGACCTGCACGAAACCATTGGCATCTTCATGGCTGTTCGTCTCTGTGGATTTGTTGTTCCCCCAACATTCGGAGTGGGGGTAGTTTACGGCAATGCAGATTCACCAATCATGAACCGAAACACATGACACTTGTCGGTGAACACCCGCAGGAGGATGTAATAAGCCTGTCTCAACTTGTTACAATGTTGAAGCCGTCAAAACTCGCAAATATTCGTTATTTACAGACAGGGACATGACCTAACCTGTAGTGGCATGCGGCATATCTGTAAACAATCATACAAATGAAAGGATGAATCGGTGGGTCAGCGTATCAGCGCGTCCAGAATACATGTACGGATATGTTCCAACACACCAGCGACCATTGTCCCATGCGCGGAAACGAGCACATATTATGCATCACAGCAACTATGCGAAATTTTCAATACATGGGTTTCGGAAGTGAGCATACTGGCAGATCGGCGGATACATAAATGAACAGGTATGTATTTATTCAGAACACCGCTGTACTTATCATCACCCCTTTCTCCCCTCCGCTTTGAAAGGTCTGACCAGTGTTTTATGGATGCGGTGTGCATCCACCAGGCTGACCCCGCAGCCAGGCGTGAACAAGTGAAACCATTCGTTGGGCTTACCCCAACCTGACCTTGATCAAGCCCCACCGACAAGCCAAGGAAAAGAAAAGGCAGGGCATCGATGCTATTGCGGGCTTCTTGCACCTCTGCACGTCCCAGAGGTTGGAGAGGTCTGGGGATGTGTTTAAAGTTTGGAGTCTCCCTGCTATCCGCAGGCGCGTCAGCATCTCCCTCAACTTTAAACTTTGACCATCAATCCCAAATCCACAAAGCCCTTCGAGCATCTTCTGCTACTTAGCATAGGTTACAGGTTGTTCAAGCCCTGTCTATGACTGATGGATCATCTCAGGAGTGTTTCTCGACAGCTCCGGATTCTGTGGTCTCCTTCCTACCTCTCTAGGCGCGGATCGTGGTTGCGGGAGGGATATAGGTTTGAGGCTGTTTGGCATTTTGGGGGTTTTTATTCCCTCTGGGGATTGAGCGGCTGAAGCTCCTGGTCGAAGAACCCCCGAAGTACGCTCCAGGCCTGCCGAGGCGTGCCGGTTTGCGTGCGTCTTTTCTGGGCCTTTGTAGCTTCAGATATGATATGAGAGGGAGTCTCTCTCTTTCGTAAGGCTCTGCAGTCACAAGGCTCTGTGCCAAGGACGCGCCAAACTTCAGATGGCGAGGATGCCAGGAAGCCGCTTCAGAAGTAAGAGCCAAGACGACCCATGAGCCCGAAGCTTCAGACGGCCCTGCATCCAAAAACCCGGAGAGCCCGAAGCTCATGAACTGCGCATTCCGGGAAGGTGTGTGTTGGTTTCGGGTTCAGGGCCTTGGGAATGCAGGGTAGTGCTTCTCGAGTTCGAGGCGTCTGGGCTTTCGGTGTTGCCCAGAGCCAATTGAAGGCAACCATGTCCTTGTTTTTGCTTCAGCCACATCCACCGAACGCAGCTTGGAAAGAGGCTCAGCACCACAGAGCCCAACAGTCGCTAAATCCAGTGCGCTGAATTGGCTGAATGCTCAATCCCAATCTCGCTATAGCCACAACAATATCAATCCCAACTTGGACGAAGGCTTTGGTGCGTCTTTGAAATCGCCGCCTACCGGAAGGCAGAAGTGTTGCAGTGTTTCTGTGCGATCTTGAGATCTTCGAGGTGTTTCTTTGCTAATCCCTGCTTGGGGTGGTGGTGGTGGTGGTGGTGGTGGTGCTGCTGCTGCTGCTGCTGCTGCTGCTGCAGCCTGTGGTGCTGCTCTTACGTTCGCTACCACCATTGACTACCACACACACAAAACAGTGGTATGAAGAAGAAGAAGAACTGGATGACAACCGTAAAGGTAGTAACACTTCTCATAACAATCATCAGGACAGGGTCAGCAGAAACACCAACATTTCAACAATTCAGTTCCTGAAACAACACGATGCATCCTAACACTTCCCGACAGAATGCGAAAGACGTTGAGAACATGACGGATGTCGACAAAAAGTATGACAAGAAAACAAGAGGCGAAGTGTAATGTGAGCATCTGTACCACTGCTGTTGACACTGCTACTACCGCTGCTACTACTGCTGCTGCTGCTGCCGCTGATGCTGTTGCTTGTGCTTGTGCTGCTGCCACTGGTGGTGCTGATGGCCCTCCATGAACTACTCCTACGACGACCGCGACGGCGATGTCGCGTCGACCTCGTGCACAGACGGACAATATTCCGTCTAACACGGCGAAACATGCTTGAACACCATGAGCCGAAAGGTGGCCATACACGATGGTTGTGGACAACAAAAAAGTATAATCAGAAGCCTCACTGGGATAGGCCATGAAGATATGCTGCACGTGGTGGCCATTCCACAATTAAGGCAGCTGTAAGTCTGGCTGCTGAGCTAGTGTTGTGATTGCTCTTCTTGCCGTCCTTACTTTGTGTGGATCTTTGGCTCCAGCTTACGGTGGTGCTCTTTTGTGCATCATCATGTCAGTAAGACTTGCTGAAGTACGAAGCCAAGGGGAGCACCCGATTGAATAAGGGCCTTGAAGCTCTAAGCCCCGAATCCGAAGCCTTACACCCTTGAAGCCTTGCGGTCGCCTCTCTGAGACCAGCTACAGAAAGTAAGTGTCATGCTCATGATTAGCGGTTAATGCCAGCTTAAAGCATCAAGCAGTCATTGATTCGCTTGGAGCCTCTATGCCCGAATCCTGCAGCCCAAAGACACGCCTTTCTTTGCCTGCACTCCAGCCTGCCTGAGGTGAACTCTCGTGGGCAGGTGGTGCTCGCACCGCTTTTCTTGGAGCGAATGGTGCTCTTGACCCTCATCACCTCCTATGGTATAGCAGGCCCAGTTCGGGTTAGAGCCCTCCCTCGTTTCCGGTAGTGTCAACTCCGACACTCTTTTTCAATGTTCCCCTTTCCAGGTCTGTTGTGGACCCTCGGCGTAGAGAGCTACAACGACACGATCTATGCGCTGTCTCTGTCACCAATGTTGTTACTCATCCACGTGCTCCGGCGCAACGCCACCGGCAAGACCAAGCTCTTCGAAGAGTTGGTGGCTCGACTCTGCCGAAGGCTCTGCGGAGACAGAGTACACGGATGTTGCATGACTGGCACACCGCTGTGTTTCCATGCTGTCGCCTTGATCTACGGTGCTCCCTCTGCTCTGCTGCCCCGTTCTCCACGACTGCCACTCCTCCCCCCACCCTCCTCCTCCTCCTCCTCCCCCCCCCACCCTCCTCCTCTTCCTTCTCAGCCACGACGATGACTACCACTACGACGACCACTACGGCTACCACGACCTGCTACGAGCTGCTACGAGCTACTGCTACTGCCACTGCCACTGCCACTGCCACTGCTACTGCTGCCGCTGCTGCTACCAATACTGCTACTGCTGTTGCAGCTGCTGCTGCTGCTGCTCCTACTACTGTACCACTGCCGCTGCCACTGCCATTACCACTACCACAACCACTACCACCACCACCACCACCACGACGACGACGACGACTACTCCGACTCCCACTCCTACTCCTGCTCCTCCTCCTCCTGCGACTCCTCCTGCTCCTGCTCCTACTCCTACTGCCAATGCTGCTGCTGCCACAGCTGCTACTGCTGCTGCTACTGCTACTACTGGTACTACAGCTTCTGCTGCTACTGCTGCTGCTGCTGCTGCTGCTGCTGCTGCTGCTATTATTACTGCCATTGCTGCTGCTGCTGCTGCTGGTGCTGCTGGTATCTGTGGCTGTGGCGTAGCAGTAGCAACGGCAACAAAAGCAGTGGCAGTTGCAGTCGTAGTCGTAGTCGTAGTACCAGAAGTAGCAATAGAATCGGTGGTGGCAGAAGAGCAGGAGTAGCAGTAGAAGCAGTAGTAGCAGTAGTAGCAGTAGCAGCGGCGGCAGCAGCAGCAGCAGCAGCAGGAGCAGGAGCAGGAGCAGCAGCAGCAGCAGCAGCAGCAGCAGGAGCAGCAGCAGCAGCAGCAGCAGCAGCAGCAGCGGCGTTATTGCGATTCGTCATTGTGTTGGCCATACATTGTAACTTTTGTTTCCATTGCCAATGCCTCGACTGAGTCTGTTGTCATCAATGTCATCCGAGTTTGTGGCGGTTGCTGCTGTTCTTGTGTTTATTATTGCTCTGTTTTCTGTTTTGTTTTGGAATGCTTCCTCTCCTTCTTTCTCCTCCCTTGCAGAAACCCGCGCCGAGAAGCTCAGGGGCTCCCTTTGAATCCCAGGGCTTTCAGCTTAAGAAGGCCCTACGCCAAGACAACACAGACCCAAAAACACCCACCTGCCGCTTCCCAATGTTTCCAGTCCAAGGATCATTTCGAGCTGACAGAAGCACATTGCAGCCTGAACTCGGACAGGGAGCTCTTCGGTCGCAGAAGGGGCGCTTGACCCCTCCCCATGTTCGAACGGTGGTGACTCTGAGCTTGTGCTGTGCTTGCTTTCGGCAAAACCGTGGAACTCCCAAGCCCCAAGCCTGAACCCATCTCGGCAGGTTCGTTCTGGGAGCTATCGAAACCTGGTACGGGAGCCGGGAGGCGACGGGTTTCTCAGAGATGTGGGCTGATACTCGTTGTGATCACACAACCAGGAAGGACCCAAGAGATCACCCGCTGACCGTAGTGACCGAATAACCGGAAGCCGTCGTTGAAGCAAAGCAGATCCCAGTCGTCAGCCCAATTGAGAGGCCTTCACGAGCTACGTCCGCGGTCCATTGCGGCAGGTGGGGTTTGGATTGTGGCTCCAGAGGCATAGAGTCAATTCCGTGGCACCAAGATGATTTCGGTATGTCCTTGAGAGTTCCGGGCTCCACCGAAGCCACGGCCCCTAACAGCTTGAAGCTTTGCACCGGCGAATTCACAAGCCACAGCTTTGTGGCTCAGCATTTTTTGGGTGCTTTTTGTTTCAAGTCTTCCGCAAGGAGCTGCTGCAGTCGGCCACCAAAGTCTCCACCTTGCACCTCGGCCGTGGGCTTGCCCAGAAGAGACCGCAGCACAAGGGAAGGTCGTGCACTGTGCCACACCATGGATTTTGGCATCATGCATGACATATTTATTCGGACAGCGCAGCCCGCACGTCGGGATACGTTCGTTGATACCCAGTGCAGCAGCGTGCACAGTGTCAGAGAAGATTGCATTGCTCAGGCTTGAAGAAACCAGTTGGTCCAGCCTGTGCAACTTGCGTCACAGCGAGCCTACCGTCCGGTGCATGTTGAACTTCGGCCTTGGCGAAGCCCACCTAGCAAAGACAGTAGCAAGAATGCCCATCGGCACATGCGTCATTGTCGTGGTCACAGTCATCACGGTCGTCCTAGAACCAGTAGTCAAGGTAACGATAGAATAGAAATGCCGACGCAAACACAAGCAGTCGTCAAGCTTGTGCTGGTCCCAGTGATGCCAGTCAGTAACACCAGCGAAAATCATCGCCATGATTCCAAAGAATAGCAGGAACAGCCTCAGCAACAATAACAAGCACAGCAGTAATATTGACTGTGGTACTCGCCTATCGTAGCAAGTGTAATCTTCGTCATCGTGACAATCGCGGTCCTCGTCGCCGTCGCAGTAGCCGAAGTAGCTGGAGTAGAAGTAGAAGTACAAGTAGTAGTCGGAGTAGTCGTCGTTAGTAGGATTATGAGCAACTATTAGTAGTGGTGGTAGTAGTAGTAGTAGTCGTCGTCGTCGTCGTTGTAGTAGTAGTAGTAGTAGTAGTAGTAGTAGGAGTAGCAGGAGTAGTAGGAGTAGTAGGAGTA